TACCAATCCGGTATCCGCTGCCAGCAGGAAGGAGACAAGCACGGTGAGACACGCAAGGAGTGGATAAGAGCTTGCGATGGCAGGCACCAAGTTGAATGGCACGCAAATTATGGCGAGGGCATGGGCCACCGAAAGCACCCCCTTGATATTTCCGAGATAATCGGCCGCGGCACCCCAGAACAGAGCTCCACAAAACTGCCCCGTGAGGCTCGCCACGACCAGCGCTGCAGCCTGCACGCCATGATAGCCCAGATGATGCCAGTAAACAATGTTAAACCTGAGAACGCAGCTCACCGCAGCACAGGAAAAGAACTGCAAGGCCGCCGGGAGCCAAGAAGGTATTGTCATGCTCGTCGCAACAGGCGGGTATTCGTGCGCAGAGCCTGATAAGCCAAACAGCTGCCAGGACTTCAAAAGGTAGAGAGATATTATAATTGTTTATGCATAAACATGAAAGACAAACACGCAACCTGGTGGCACAAGCATGGAAACAATGGCGTGATCCTAGGTTCTTGCAGCACTGGCGTGTCCAGGTTGGTAGCTGTTGAAATTCGCGGAGCACTCGTTTGTCGTTTCAAGGCCGTCCATGCAAAACAAACGTTAGATGGGGATTTCCAAAAATAGGGGACCCTAATATAATACCCTTAATGATAGGATCCTGATTATAAGGACCCCCAAGATAAGAAACTCCCAGATCGGAAACCACATCGCCAACCACCGCCACCATCGACCGTGAGCGCGGGAAATCGATTCAAACCTGGAATTGCGTAGTCCCGACAGCAGAAACTCCTGGCATGGACCCCCCCCCCCACGGTTTAGGGTTTAGGGTTTAGGGTTCCCCCCCCCAAAAGTGAACAGACAGGCTCCGGAACTTGAACTCCCTGAAACCCCCCAATCACGCATCCGCCCTGTCCACAATACCACGACTGATTAACGGTGCTTGAGTGAATAGACTAGGGTTTCGGAGTGTTGTAGCATATCGTCACGTAGAGACTCTATGGGGGCACTAGCAATGAAAAAGATACCCGGAGCTCTACATGAAGCAGAACCCACTCATTGGGGCTGAAAAGGCTCCTCACTGTCCGGCGCCGCGCAGCTGGGGCTATCCCCACGCTGGCGGAAGAGAGCCTCTTGGTTGTGGGCGTCAAGTTGGTTGGTGTGTCTCCGTGTGTGTGTGTGTGTGTCTCCGTGTGTGTGTGTGTGTTTTGTGAAGTTTTCTTTGTTTTTGCTCTTGTTTCTAGCTAACTGCTCCCAGCGGCTAGACTTGGGGATACCCGAAGCCTCTGCGGGTACCTGGTTCCGGGCTTTTGGGCTTCAGGAGCTTAGAGCCTTAGAGATTTCAAGGCTTCAGATTTCGGGCTTCAAGGTAACGGGGGCCCTGAGAAGGGGGTCAGCACAAGAACTCTTCCGTCTCGCGTCTCTACCAGCCCCAACATCCTAGCTGTCCGAACTCTGAGCCTCAAGGTGTGAGAGCAGTGTTTGAAGGAATCCGCGAGTACGGAACATGAAGTCACCGTTGAATCAGGACTCAGATGCCACAAGAACTTGCAAAATCATCAGTTTCGATGGGCTTTTAACATCCACCATGCAGCAACCTGACAGCACGAGTAGCTTCATAGCCCCTGCAATACAAGCCATATATGCATGCCCATGCCCCCACATCGAACCCCGAAGCCTTGCCACTGCGCGTTCCTGGGAGGCATCCGCCATCCGGGCCGAGGCAATAACCACAGCCACCGTTCTCGTGCTGCACCTGCACATGGCACATGGCTTTGCCATGCTTTGCCGCTCTGCAAGGAAAAAGCTGATCACTTTCTTGCGTTCTTTTCTGGAGCAGACCCTGTCACGGTCTGGGTCTTACGCAGTCTCTTCTGAGTTTTTTCCGTCTAACCCAGGACGGGTTTGGGCTTCCACGAAGAGTCATTGCGTCGGCCTCCAAGCACTCGGAGATGGAAAGGTCGTGGCCTTAGGACACTTCTGCTCTGGGCATCTCCGATGCGATGCTGAGGGACTCAGGACGATGGTTCAACAACCGAACAGCGCTGTCCACGTCAAGACGAGCCAACGCCAGTTGCGACTTGTCATCATCGCCATCGTCATCAGACACAATCAATAGAACAGCACACCATGAAGCATCATCCAAGAAACCAGGAACGTGTAGCATGAGAATGTGATCACTCTGGCTCGTGGCATTCTCTTTCGGAGGACAACCGCGCTCGCCGCAACCAGCCACTGCATTCCTACCAGTACCAAGAGCATCCTGTCAACCATGATGTATGTCCAACAATCAGAGTCAATTAGTTTCGAGATCCTCCAAAAATTTTGTGCTGGTGTGCCAGCGGGTTCCCTCAATTGAGATCAAACTGAATTCTCCGAAAGTGCGGCTTGCTTAAGTGCAACACTGCAGTGCAGTCAGTCTGAGACGCCTTTACTCCTCGAGCATGGAGTTGTGATGCTCCACATCACTTGGGTTCCGGATTATAACCCTATGTAGTTTAATACCCAAAACCCTATTCTCATTTCTCAGGCTCCTACGCTACAACCGCGCATCTCCTTGCCAGGCCGCAGGGGGACCAGTTCGGGAGAAAGCTCTGACGGTCCAGAAAACAGGAGTTCCGGCCATTCAGCCAGAGGCCACAGCTGGTGTCATTGAGGAAAAGAAAGTTCCTGGGAATGGACTGTCTTGACCTATGATGAGCGCTGCTTTCTTGGGATATAAAGGCTTTGACCTGATGAGAACTAGTATCTAGAATCTGAATGCGATTACGATTGTTGTTCCAACATCTGCTTGCAACCTATGCTCGTCCAGATGAGGCACGACTGACAAACTCTCGAATGCGTGTTTGCTCGGGCACTGGGTATGAACAACAATCTGATATATGAAGTGACCCGCGCTTGAAAATAGAGTCGTGCGCAAAAGAGCCGAACAAGTTGTTCCCCCCCAGCATCGGCTCAGGCTAGTTTTCGGCGCGCACAAGGCACACTCGGAATCTGGTTTGAGTTTGTGAAGGCCGGAATTACTGCAGAATCAGCTCTAGTTGGATTGCGATGCACGACGAGGAGGAAGAATAGGGTTCTACAGCGAAGGATAATAGCGCCTGAAATGAAAGGGCGCGGGCCACCACGATGCTGGCAAATGCATTACAGGAATGATACTCATGAAAGACAACAGCAACGACAACAAAAAAAGCATTGTAGTTGTAGTCATACAGAAACAACAGTACTCGTAATCATCATCGTAATAATCGTAACAAACGTCAGGCCACGATCGCGCACGAAAGCCATCCGGAAAGCTGGCTTCGAACTCGGCAGTCGAGTACGACAGCATTGCGAAATACCGCACAGTCCTGAGTACAACAGAGAAGCCCCAAGATCCCCTCACTTCACTCACGGGGTCGAAGTTCGGAAGCTCAGCAGAACTGAAACAAGACGGTTGACCTAGGAAAGCGCTGGCCTTGTGGGATCGCGCTTACCACGTTGGCTTTCTAAAGCGACTGAGTCACCTTGCTGTCGCGACAACATCTTTTCCAGCCCTTCCAGAACGAGCCAACAAAGACCCGGAGCCCGGAGACTCAAAAGCTCCAACTGCACGGGGCGGGCTGCATCCGCGATGGGTTCGCCAGCAGGTAAGCAGTGATCGGCGCCGGAGTGGAGGCGCAAAAACCCGAGCTGCTACACCACGTGCAGGCGGGAAAACGCTCCTGACGGAAACTCAGGAACAAGATCTGAATCCGTGGCTCATGATCCCCATGTTTACTGAGATACTATGAGATTGCATTCGATCCCGCTGGCTGACCCCGCTGAAATCCGCAGAACCAGACATCGTCACGTGTTGCCGATTCTCGAGGCTCTTCGGATGCGAGGGTGTGGAACTGAAAACCCTACTGTTCCCTTTTCCGCCTATCGGTCACAGGGGATCCTGGCAGGCCGCACAGTCTCTTCGGATTGCGCACTCATCTGCAGCGGCCAAAGCCACGCACAGCAGCCAGATCAGCCTGCAAACCAACTATAGTGTGCTTTGGTTGGTCTTGTTTCTGTCTCTGAACGGAATTGTCAACTAAATATTATATACCATACTATATGATATGATATTATCGTATACATTGTTTTTGAAAATATGTAAACTCATACTAGCGTCGACACGGGCGGAGGCTTCGGATGTTGCAAAGGCGGAGCACATCTGGGCTTTTTATGTGGGTGTTTACGGCTTAGGTTTTCTGCAGTTTAGGGTATCTGCAGGGTGTATAGTGTTTGGGGTCATGGCAGATGGCGATTCGAAACTAAAAAAGCTGTGAACTCCGAGCCGCCAGATTCCTGTTCTGAATGAGGTTCCACGGATGGACGCCGACACACTGACGCTGGTCCGATCACACCGAATCCTGCCCCAAAGCCTGCAGAACCCGTAATCAATATAACCTAGTCTTCGATGAAGTACGATGAAGTAGCACTTGAAGTCTCATTGTCTACAGTCATCTACAGTGGTGAAGCTTTCGAGTAGCCTCGGCTTCCGAGATACGAGCCTTCCACGTCGCTGCAGATCTGGTGACATCATCGGCCGTCCATGTTCGGAAGATCCGATGGGATCGAAGCATGAGGAATCCGTGCAGCATGGACGTGCTCTCCCCCAAAGTGTATCTTTCAACGCTGAGGGGGTCGGTTCGATGGATGCTATTTGAGCAACTCGTGGAAAGTCAGAATCTTGCCTGACTACGCTTGTCCCGTCTCATTGCCTGAGAGCAGGCCGAACCTTTGGCCAGAGAGAATTCGGAGATGCAAAGCCGATCAAGACTATTTTTTTATGCATTTATCCAGGTCCCGAACCTGGCGCCGCCTTCACAACTCAGGCTAAGTACCATGGAACTTGCCGGACTCCTTGAACTGCTTAGAGGATTGCTTCGAAGTTTTCAGGGTTAAAGAGGACTTGTCACGTATGTGGCTTACCGCCGTGACTTTGAGAGGCAACCAAACCAGAGATCCAAGCCCACCACTGAGGGCGGCACCTTGAAAGCGCCTGGCGTTGAACTGGCAGCACTTGAAGAGCTTGTAGTTTGCAAAACCTGTCAGTCTGGTGCGTGCCGCACCGATGTTAACATTCAGGGTCGCGAGGTGCGTAGAGTCTAGAGTGTAGCGCGACGATGGCAGCAATTCGACGAAGCGATGGCCCTTCATCAGGTTGTCCAGATTCGACTGATGAACTCTTGTATACCATACGCCGACAGAAGAGACGGGTAGGGACTGGCACAGCGGTGCTACATGCTGCGATGCTACTACGATTACTGCGCATCGGCGACTCAGGCTCGCGCGGTAGTCGAAGAGCAAGTTGGCGACCTGTGTTTTGCAGTCGTGTGTCTGGCGAGACCCTGCGCCCTGCGCTCTGGACAAGTCATCCATGAGGAAGCCGAAGCCACATGCTGTGTTCAATCCGGGGACAGAATGACGGGTTTTCGCCGCCAAGATACGTCCTCAGTGCACTGGAGGATGGCATAGGCCCGCACCTCCAGAAAACTTCGGTTTGGGCTGCGGGAATTGCGGATTTGAGGCTGTCTGCAGTTGAAGCTTACGGTGCGTTCAGTCAAGGCGTCTGGAAAGATAAGAATAAATCAACAAATGCCAGTAAATGATGACAGCGACGATGGCGGATGATTAATAATTATGAGGAGGACGAGGACAAACACGAGGACGAGAATGACAGTGACATTACACAACAGTGGAAAAGATGATTTTGCGGTCTGTCTTGCCATCGATTTCGTGATGCGGACGTCGGTACTGAGATGAGAACCAGCTGTTATCTTACTAATCATGAAACTGAAAATCAGCGTCATCATCATCAACATCACCATCACCGTCATCATCTTCACCATCATCATCATCTTCTTCACCGTCAGCATCATCATAATCACCATCATCATCTTCATGATCCGCAGCAGAACCAACACCAGCACCACTACCATCTCCATCGCCATCACCACTGGCGCCGCCACCACCGCCAGCAAAAGTACCACCATCACCGGCTCCGTCGCAGTCGTCATATCATCAACATCCTCATCATCGTCATCATCATCACCATCTTGCCGAGCTGAATCGTCGTTATTCCAGCTTGCAACACCCGAGCATCGATAACCCGCCGACCGCCAGTATTTAGGCTCGGGCGACCGGCAGCTCCTCTTCGGCTTCGAGCTTCGTTCCCAGCTTGAAGTTCAGCTTCCTCGTGGTGGGGACAACAGCTCCGCATTGAAAGGGTTCATGCTTCCAGGCTGCTCTTCCTCTCCTTTTTCGGGACGGAGGGATGTCGTGTGGACAGAAGGGAAGTTGAAGGATGTGCCGTCCTGGGATTTCATGTCATGACATGAAGATAACCCAATCGTTTCTAATGCCCCTGTGACTGTGGCAGGTGGCTTATCAGCTGGAGTATCACTGAGCCCGAACAGCCCTCAAACCCCAAGCCCTGAGCCCAAACCACAACCCCTTGAGCCCCTTTCTCTTCTGAGAAGTCTATAATCCGTAACAGCAGGACAAAGCCTTTTAGTTCACGGGACCCTTCGAACCCGATTGAAAACGCCGATGCTTTGACCCCCTCGAAACCTGCATAACACTTCCATTTAACATGATAAAGCCTGAAAGTCTATTAACAAGCACAGTCAAGCCCCTTTCATACGTCATTAGGAACATTCTTCGGACCTTCAGAATGCAAGGATCGCTTCACGAAGGAACGCCTTGGAGTCCCTCAGGAGGCCGAGGCCGCGGCTCCAATCGGCCCTTGAGTTTATCCAGGCGCCCTGGTTTCCTGAGTTTAGGGTTTAGGGTTTNNGGGGGTTGGCTTTTTTTCAAGTGCATGACAGCTACAGGTTGGGGTTTAGCGTTTTTTTTTGTAGGGATTGCTTCCCCAGGCGCTATAAACCCAGGTCTGAAGATAAGGCTCAAGGCTAAAGATGGGAAGTTGAGAAATGCTAGTCCATGTATTACAGGTTTTCAGCCAATGGGGTTTGTGTACATTTTGGTAGATAGACGACAGACAATGTATGTCATATAGGGAGGCAGAGATAATGGGCCCTCCTTTTGATCGAGCTGCCCCGACTTCTCGCTGTACTTCTCTGCGATCTCAGTGCCTTGATTCCAGATGAACGAAATCGTCCGTTTTAGGGTATTTGGGGTTTGGGGATTCAGGGTTTTGTGCTTGGGAGTGTTTCACCCGCTGCACGACTGCATGACCAGGCCCTCGGCGAAGTACCAGATCTGCACGATCTTTCAGCTCATGCAGCCTGCAATGGGTCAGCTCGTCGAGACACACCGAGTGAAGTTTCCCACGCAGGGAGCTGCCGGATGCCGCGTACTCAGAGATCTGTTTCTTGAAGCCATGCTGCGTCGTTGCAACAAGAGATCCGTGTTTACTGGTCTATGCTCTGCAGATCCTTAGTCGTTGCTCTCTACAACCCCCCTGATACAACCAAGAAAACCCTTGCATAAAGCCATCGATTACCAACTGCAATTTTTCCCTGCAGCTGGTCTTCCGAGAACTTCACCACATGCAGGTGCAGCCTGCCGTTGTAGTCGCGGACAAGCGTAAGCTCACAAACCTTGCCAGCTTGCTGCATCAGGTTGCTGCCACACTTAACTTAACAGACTTAACATTCTGAGGTGCACAGGCAGCGAAGAACAACTGTTGAATCTTGCTCTAGTTGGAGACAGTTGGAGGTGTACCTGCAGCGTCTCATGCTGCAGAAGATCAGGCAGGCTGGGCCACTTTCTACGAAGCCAAGAGGTGTGAACATTGAGTTAACGATCGAGATGCCGCTTCGATTCCGCTCCGACAGATTTCCGGCGCTTGCGCAGCTGATGAGAAATGTCCATCCACAAGCTCTTATCTTCGCGGCGCATCCCACTCCCAACTCGAGCTCTCAACAAGCCCCCCGCCCCTCCACCTGCCACCCCCAAACACCCAAGGACAGATCTCTTTATAAGACCACTGGGTACCTTATCCTAAGCTACTCAGCTAGTATAGGGGCCTTAATAATTAGAATAGGGTTTGGGGGGGTAAAGTATACTATAACTAATACTAAGGAACCCCCCAAAAATAGTATAGGTCATTATGAAGGCCCCTACATTACCTTATCCTAAGCCACCCTAAACCCTAAACCCTAAACCCTAAACCCTAAACCCTATCCTAAGCTATTCAGCTAAGCTCGGCTCTGCAAAGGAAGAGACCCGGGTGCGTGCGGCCTGCGGTTCCGGCATCTCGTGGCCGACCGGCCTCCGACCTGGAAGAAGACAAAGGGGTATAGGGCTTAGGGCTTAGGGTTTAGGGTTTAGGGCTTAGGGTTTTGTTTTTTAAATGGGCTTAGCGTTCAGGGCTTAGGGCTTGGGGTTTTGTTTTTTAAATGGGCTTAGCGTTTAGGGCTTAGGGCTTGGGGTTTTGTTTTTTAAATGGGCTTAGCGTTTCGGGCTTAGGGCTTGGGGTTTTGTTTTTTAAATGGGCTTAGCGTTTCGGGCTTAGGGCTTGGGGTTTCGGGCTTAGGGTTTAGGGTTGTGGTCCTTTAAAGCTTTGAAGGGGCTCCATCAGGGATACTGGAGGCAACGGCCTTCATAGCTAGAATGTGCTGGAAGAAGGCTTCTTTCAAAGGATTCAAGGGGTTCTTTCGAAACTTTAAGGGGCTCCACCGGGGATACTACAGCACAGGGGTTCTATGCCATGGGCGCCTTTATGAGTAGAATAGGGCCTGAATAGGGTTTGGGATAGAGTATACTATAGTTATATAGGGACTACATGACTCCGATCCCCCTTAAAGTATGCTCCACAGCACCAGTAGTAAAACCAATAATGGACACCCTCATCGCAAAAAGAAGCAGCTGCGAGTAGTGATGGTGGTGGTGGTAGTGGTGGTGGTGGTAGTAGCAGCAGAAGTAGCAGAAGTAGCAGCAGCAGCAGTAGTGGTGGTGGTAGTAGTAGTAGTAGAAGAAGCGGTCGCGTCAGTAGCAGTAGCATCTGTAGCAGTGGCAGTAGCAGTAAGTGAGGCAGTGGCTGGGTGTGGCGGGTTGCCGAGACAAGACAGGTTCAGTGACTGTGTCACGGTTCGAGGCTTTAAGATGTGGCACAGTTTGTAGGGCTTCAATAATTGCATGGGAGTTCCAGAAAACGATGGATCCCAATTAGGCCCTTGACAGTAGGGTCCTGAACATGAGGACATACAACCCTTTAAAACCTCTTCGAGCCCTTCAAAGGCTGTAACACTCGTATAATATAAACACTGTAGAACCGGGATTCGCGTGTGAAGTGTCCTGCTCCTTATGGTTTTCAAGCAAAGTCGAACGCAACAGTTTGCACAAGATTTCGGGCGAGTGTGCCGCAGGAAAAGGCATGATTTTCAGGCCGAGGATCTCCTTGCGATCCATACTCTCGTAACAGGACTCTGCTGATTCTTGGCGTCTTGCTATTGTGTTCATTTCTGTTCAAAGTTCGCACTCTCAGTATTTCTTATACAGGCTCGACTCTGAGACGGAGGATTTCATGAAAAGCCCCGGTGACCGGTGCTGAAGGCCATTACTGGAACCACTGTCTGGGCCGACGATCCGCCTGTTGTCGGCAGTTTATATGCTTGTCATGTTCAGTTTGTTGAAGTGCTGGGTATCGGCACGGGGACTGCGCAAAAATGTTCGAGTACTGTATGCCAGATGGCACCACCCTGCCCACGGACCTCTTCTGGAAACCCTCTTGATACCATCCTGAAGCCGTGTTGCACCGCAATGAATCCAAGGCTTTAGTTGTCTATGCGCTAAGGATTCGACCCCAAACTCTCATTGGGAGCCCGGCTTCGCGCATGCTTGATTCGGCTGATGAGGTGTTGCTCCAGCAGCCTCGGACCGTTTGTGCAGCGGGCACAGACCATTTGGCCGAGTTGGACTCCTTTGCGGGATCGGCATCATGTGCATACCCAGCCCAGCGATAGGAAATCGGAAAGCCGATCGGGGCAACAGTTTTGGGAAGTTGCAACGCACACAGAGTTAGCGCGTGGTGATCCATGCCGCGAGCAGTTTCGAATGCTAAGCACCAGATGCCTCGCCTCAACAGCCGCCTGTCGTAAAGCATGGCATATGCATATCCATGCTTAAACACACATTGAGGGAGTGGCTTCTCGTAGTTCTTTTGGTCCTCGATCTTGTAAGGCCTGCAAGCGCCAAGTGCCAAGCACCCGGATCGGCCACGGGATGCTCGGAAGATGGAAGTGACACATGTGTGCATGTGTGTCACGAACCCTAAACTTGAATGCGACCATTCTGAAAAGGTGCTTGGATGTCAAAGAAATCTTGGGCGCTGGCAGGCCATGGATCATGACAGAATAATCGCGAGGCCTCCGATCCACCAAGGCTTGGAACAAGCAACTAAACCCTAAGATCCCGATACCCCAGACCCTGCTCATACAGGGACCTTAGAAATTAGAATAGGGTTTTTGGGCCCATTATACTATATAGGTGTAAAACAAGGAACCCCCAACCTAGTATAATTATTAAGGCCCCTACATTACCTCATAGCCTTAACCCTAAACATGACCCACAGCCCAAACCCGACACGCGAACCCTGAAATGCCCGGGCCAAGTTGCGTAACTTGCTCCAGCTCGTCCGTTGCCGCCGTACTGCAGCCAAGAGCGGACTTCAATGATTTCCGCACAATATATTTATATCAGATTCTAGTATAGTATCAGTCACTGTGTAGTATACTATAGTCTATAATGTATCATATTATGCTGTAGTACAGGATCTTACCCTCAAGCGCCCCCTTGAAATCGTCTTCGACAGCCCAAACCCGAATCCCGGACCTTAGCAGACCCAGCTGCCCTCCCTTGGTCCGCTCCTCGGTATCTGGATGAAACGAGCCCAGATGCAGTAGAGCAAGAAAATCGCCACGGCAACGAAGTCCAGCCAGCCTCGACGGTCGGTTCAGGGCTTGGGGTTTCGGGGTTGGGAATGAGGGCTCGTTGGTGTTGCGCCGATGTGTTTGATTGCAGCTATCAGTAATTTCGGTGTCGGCTAGTATCAGCATCAACTACTAATTAATCATTACAAGCACTAATCTCCTTCTTACAATTCTGGAGACGACTCGGATAGCGAAGCTTTTTCGACTCACTAGCCGGACCTAACAGATACCAACCTCCTGGGCTTTGCTAGTGGCACTACATCAGCGCGAAGGCCGTTGTCCTTATTATGTTACCCTAAACCCTAAACCCCTTCAAACATTATGGCATATCATGGTATATCCTAGTATGCCATAGTATGTTTCAATATCTTACAGTCGATCGTAGCTTAACCCGAGTAGTGTGACTCTCTAGAGCCTCCGGGTCCCTGCAGAGATCCACAGGCTCCCGCGGAAGATCTTCGAGGATTCGGGCCCGGGCCGAAGATACCCGTCAGGTTGTGAATTTCGGTGCCTGGATATCTTTTGCTTCAATTATGCTTATAGTATTCTGTTTTCGGCCATCATACTACAGCTGCAATGGTTGAGCATCTTAGTTTCAGTACTTTGACAGTACTTTGAGGTGCCAGGGCTTTTTAGGTTTTGGGCATGGGACAGAAAATAGGGTTGACAGTTCATCATGGCTGCCATGTGCTGTTAAACTTCTTTATACAACTGAAGATGTGCTCGGCAAGATTTCGAAGGCATAAACACAGCCATCTCCAAGTGTCAAGTTCAACACTGGACAGCCGGTGACAATCGACACCCCCGAACCCCCAAACCCCGAACCCCCAAACCCCTAAACCCTTTACTAAACCCCTAAACCCCTGAACCCCTAAAGCCTTAACCCTCTCAAGCCGAGCTCTGAGACCTGGGATCTGGGGCTTCGAGGTCTGAGAGGCGGGAACCGCAAGGAGCTTCTTACGTCAGTTCTTACGTCAGTTCTTACAGCAGCTACATCGGAGCACCAGCACCAGGTAACACTGTGCTATCTCTCAAGTCGACTGGAATTTCGGAGGTAACTAGAGTAACTAGAAACCAAGACCCCCAGGTAACCGAGGCGGGACCTTCACAGCCCAGCCGCACAACTCGACCTGGGAAACTCACTTCGCAAAGGAGACAGTGACGTTAGATGTCGCCGGACACACCGTCTTGAACCGGAAGTTTCAGCTATAGCCCACAGGATCTAGTGGCAGGGATGGCCCAACATCATGCTCCGCTCTTGAACGGCCTATATCGGGCATACTGCTAATTGCATAATAGGTGCTGCGGACTGTCCCGGAATCTAGGACTCACCATTCTTCCGACGACATACATGCTCTCACCGCCGCTTCTTTCAGTGGATGTACGAGGTTGATTCCTATCGTTTCCTGGCGAGGCCGATGTTGACGATGATTATCATTGTGATACTCATGTTGATGTTGTTTTTGATGAAGGATGACGACGACCTTTGTGGTGGTACTGGTGATGATGATATGACTACGATGACGATGCTGCTGCTGATGATGATGATGAACAAGAAGACAACCCCCCTCGCAACAACAGCACCACGGGTTCAACCATTGCTTTTGGTGACTAGCCTAGCCACAGACGGCTTCGCTTTCCGAGTACGACTGCCGACTGCGATACCAAAAGTCGAGTGTAACTGTGCACATACAAAAGCCCGATGTCTTTGGTCCCGTAAGGCTCGTGCTCCAGGGATCGATGATGTCCGCCTCCACAAACTCGCCTCGGGCCGTCCGCCCAAGAACTCATGGAGAACTGCTGGGCGTCAGGGTGTTAAAGGGACTCTTGGATATAGGGACCGGGTTACTGTCAACATGTGCGGTGTGGTGCACGATATGATCGTGGCACAGAGCGCGGGGAAAAGCTGAAAGACATCACCGACAGCCCTTGCACTTCAGCAAGCGCTCTGAAGGAACCGGCCCAGGTTTCCGATGGTCGTCTTCAGCAGGAACTGGGCGAGGAGCTGAGTGACTGGGGGCTGCCAGATCGCTGGAAGACCGGCCCTCAACTCCCAATCAGCAATCGAATCGGCCAAAATTCCACGACTCTTCTTTTTGGGGAACGGAGCCGACTCAGCTCCCTCGCCCGGCGCCTGGCCGGTGTCTGGCCCGAAGTTGCCCAGCAGGCAGAAGGCTACCAAAGGACCTGTCGCGGCTGCCTGGGAGGGAAGCGAAATGGGACAAAAAGCATGCGGAGAATCGGGCAATATACGGCTGGAAGCAAGAAAGCGGCATCGTCGTCATCCTCATCCTTTGCCTCGTCCTCCTCCTCATCCTTCTCTTCACTCGCACATCAGTATCAACAGCGCAATTCGGCCCCCGATGTGTCTGGTTTTCCGGCGACAGTTCTGTCCAGGAAGATGAGGACACATAGGTCCGGTTCCAGCTAGGCGCGTGACCATGTAGGCGAAGATGAAACCCAGATTCCTGCGGCGCAGGAAGTCCCTTCAGTGATTCGAACCCGCCGACTTGCATGAAGTATGAGCTTCCGCAGGTGGCCGAGGGGCCTCAACGTGCGGAAATACAGCTCGGTGCCGGTTCCACCTCGGTAATTCGGCTTGATCCCACCACAGACAAGTCGCTGTACGACATGCTTTGGTCCACTGAGCTGAGGTCAAGGACTCAAAATCAGAATGAGCGCCGGACCAATTTCGCTGAGCCGGTACGTCGGTGTGCACAGCGGGCTCAACCACTTGTTTTCTGCACACCAAGCAGGTATAGCTGGACTCTGAGGCACTTTCTTGTTGCGGTCTGGATCAGTGCACGGGACGAGGACCGCAGCTGGTCGAGGCAAAATTCGCAAGACTTACTGCCCAGTGGGGCTGCCCTCTGTCCCTTGCTCCGATGAAGGTCGCCAAAGACCCTGCCCCAAGATTCGGAGAGGATCTTGATCTGCCTAGCCCCCTAGCTACCATGGGCAGCAGCAGCAGCAGCAGCAGCAGCAGCAGCAGCAGCAGGAGCAGCAGCAGCAGTGCTGCAGCAGCAGGAGAAGGAGCAGGAGCAGTAGCAATGGCAGTAGCAGCAAGCAGTAACAGTAAGTTGCTTTTACAAAAGAGCAGCTGCCAGCAGCATCCGTCGTACGCATCCCCAGGCCTACTGTAGCGCTCGTCCTCACCAAGTGGGCCTTGGCGTCCTCGAAACGGCTTCCAGGTGTTGGGATATCTTCTTATTTGCATATGGTACAGTCTGGTACAGTTAAGCAATGTCGTCACTTTTCATCATACTACCTCATGTCATCGTCTACCATAGCCTATCATATCATACACTGTCATGTCATTTTGGCTGATGTACACATGCATCTATTACCAGCTGTCCTATCCATGTTGCAGCAATGCTGCGAACACGCTCCATTCTTGCAGTCTTCTTGCAATTACGGCCTTTGAGGAGTGCGCTGTGCAGCCGTCGGTGAATTCGACCATGCTGGTAACAACTGCTAATGGAGGCTCGATGGCTCCTGGCTACGACTGTAGTCTAGAGCTTCTGGGCAAGACACCCGCACGCTACCGATTTTTCATATTCACGGCAGGACGCTATGTAAGGCTCGGCCAAAGATCCGACTACTTCTCATTTGAAGCTATGAAGATACGCTGATACACTGCCCTGCCTTCAAGGGCCCGTTACAAGACGAGTCCGTTCAAACGCTTTTCAGCTCGCCTCGATGTTCGGAGTGGGATCGATGAGCTCCATCTCGACCTTCTGCTTCATTTGGGGCTTCAGAGGCGTTTTAGTTTGGGACCTCGTTTATCATGGTCTATGGTGCAGAGCTTTGTGTTTGAAGCATTGGGCTTGAGCCCGAAATTACCCTAGATTGGGCTGTTCTGGCTGCGGGGTACTACTGACACTGACACACTGTGTTAGAAGACACTCGCTCCACATGCAGCCGCTCAGAGATGGACCGCGAGCCGTGGCAAGGCCTCTGATCTCAAAGGACCTGACTGACTTCATGGTCGCAGTCTTCTTGGCCGGGCTGTCCCCCTGGCGTGTTATGCAGCAATGCGGAAATCGAGACGAACTCACGGAGCGGACTGGCACGTCCGAGCTCGAGATGTAAGGATACACAGATCATGCAGCTGCCGCCTCCTCAGCATCAGCACCCCTTGGTTGCGGCTTCCACTCGCGAGGGAGAAGCACATGCAGACGTTCTGTGCAAAGCCGTGTCGGCCGTGTGAAGCCCGCTCATGTAGCTGTGCCGGTGATGATCGGTCATTCTCCGGGCCGTAGGCGAATCCGCCACCTTGAAAGCGCGCTTTCTGCCAGCACACCTGGCGGCATCGTGCGAGTTGGGATGTTGGTGGAACTTTGAATCTTGTGCTGCCGACGGCTCGCCACTAGTTGAAGTACACTTGGCACGATTATGTCGGTGAAATACGACGGCCCAAAGCATAGCATCTCTTGACTCGGCGAGGCACCATCGGAAAGGAATGGTAATGCCCAGTGTCAGCGTCAGTCCGTAGATGGCGGAATAAGTCCAAACTCGAGCCTAAGTTCAGGTTTCAACTGCTGCATCAGACCAGGCGGCACATGCAACCAGATACCTAGTTGCAGACGTAGCTCCGTGCTTACGCTCACATTCAATAAAACTCAACAAGCCGATGGGTTACCAGAGAAAGGGGAAATCCGGTTACGTTGTTTCAGTTTATCCGTGCCAAACCCTCAGTCCCAAAACCGGCTAGGATCCGGACGAACTGCGCATTCCCACCAAAGTCAAGTTCTGCACAGCCGGCCTTCAAGCGACTGGAAGGGCGAGCAGGCGTAGCAAGCAGGGTTTTTACGGGTTCTTGCTAGAAGGAGCTTGATCTGAAATTACCAAAAAACCAACAGCATATCACGCAGGATCAACCCCCATGATGGTAGCTTGTTTTTTTTGAGATTCCTAACAAAAACCCAGATCTAGATGCACGATGACCTGCTGTTGCGTTTGCTCTGGCTTCCGTCGGTGCTAGCCCGCTCCTGTCCCATCTTCGACCCCACAGTCCTAGGCTCAGCCCTTGTTCAACTGCGTGGCTATTTCTGGCGCGCCTTCTCCGCCCAGTAGTGCAAGGCAGCCTGGCAAGCAAAACTGACACTATGATAACGGGGAGTGAACTGCGTACCTGCAGCTATATTATAAACCTAGCACGAACAGGCGTTTTAAATGACAACTGTGTTTCTCCGCATCTTCGGCTATAGGCCCCCTGCTTTGCAGGATCAGCAAGGCCTCTCAGCTCGAGGTGAGATCGTGCGTGCCACC